CACATGTGAGTGTTAGTCTCAACAAGAGATTCACATCAAGTAGGATGGATATTTAGGACTATTATTCACGTGTTGCAAGTCATATAGTACTTTGCTTTTTGGTCCCAAGAGAATATTTTTCCTTTCTTAGTTTTCTCTCACACCTATCACTTTCATCTTAAGGGCGCCCTCAATGGCTGTCGATTTCGACAGCGAGTACGGATCTTAACCAATGAGAAAGAGAGATTAATTAAAATCACCGCGCTAGCGAGTCTTCAGTAGCCTATCTCGCACGATTCTCGAAAGGTTTCGTGTCTCTAACATATGCACCATACTCTGAGCACTCTACAGCTTTATATTTTTTAATTATTTTAAGCATCCATGTCAGCTAGCTATTTGTCATCTCTTTTAAGATTCGTCATGAGTTGCATAAGTTCGGCCATAACTGCGTTGGTCGATAGATATTATCTTCAATCATTGTCTCCATTCATGGTCATTTGTTCATGCGCTTGCCTTTTTGACATGTAATCTTGCTTTATCTAAAATGTAGGTGGCGGCCGGAGACTCGCAGCTTTCACTTACCTTTCGGAGAGATGACAATCACGCTACAGAACTGTCCGAAGATACTAGGTCTGAAGATTTACGGCAACGCAGTGACTGGACAGTGCAGGTCAGAAGGTTGGAGAGCACGAGTAGAGGCCTTCCTTGGGCGTAAGGTTGGCGAGCAAGGGGCTCGCAATTCTGAAGTTCTAATCTCCTAGCTCGGCAAAAGTTCGCACAGTGCCCCGAGAAGGTAGATGAGGAGACAGTTGGGTACTACTGCAGGGCGTGGATCCTACACCTGTTTGCCTGCATTCTCTTCCCCGACGCCACGGGTGACACTGCGTCATGGATGTGGGTCCATTGCCTCACTGACTGGGACCAGACGGGTCAGTACAGCTAGGGCTATGCAGTGTTGAGTTTTCTTTACCGGCAGTTTTACGAGTCGTGTCGTCGGACTTTGTCCTCATCGTCACTTGGTGGATGCGTGTACCTGCTCTAGTTATGGATGTGGGGTCGTCTACCAGTTGGCCGTCCCAAGGTTCTGGCTAGTCGTGAGTGGTTCCCAGGCCAGCCTCCACGTCGGCAGCCGACGTGGGCGTACCTTTGGACCAGGTTAGGGTTCCGCACGTAGACTTGGCTACCTTGCAAGGATCGCCGCAAAAGCACATGGGCACTAGAACATCACTAGGCAAAGACAATGGGTCGAAGACATTTCCGGTCATCCGGTCATAACTACAATTTAGTCATTTTCGTTCTAAGAACCGAAAGCAATTAACATTAAACCCTACACTTAGGGTTTTCCATTTGATCCACAACAATGAACCCATATCATAACAACGTGCGTTGAGGTTACCTTGGTTTTGTAGTTTTTTCACGCCTTGGCATCCTACGGCTGTATAATATAAATATTAAAATTACATGAAACCCTAAGTAATGACGATTCTTAAGTTGAAAAATCCAACTAATATATACCGAATCGATTTAAAAAAAATTAGGAGGGAGCGATGATACCTTGCTCTCGAAGATTTAGGGCTCAAATCAAAGTTTCCAAGGTCCAATATGCCGATTCATGAGGTAGGACGAAGTGGGGAGAGAAAAAACCCGAGAGGGAGGAGAAAGAAGAGGAGGAAGGCTCGGGCAGGAAGGTTGTGCGCCGGGTTAAAACACCATCTCGGCGCCATAGATCTTGACGCCGTTCTCGGCGCCAATAACCACGGCGCCAAGCTTGGCGCCAACATCTACAGCGTCAAGGTGCCTGCCAAATCACCGCCACGTCTACGTCGATCCCAAGACCTAGGCGTCAAAATATATGACGTCGAGACGTGTAAGCTCGACGCCACCAACGATGACGCCGAGCTAACGGTCCAGATTTTGAAAGCATACACACAGAGATATATTTGTGAAAAAACTAAAAAAAAGGCTAAAAACAAAAAAAAATCGGGACAAGCAACAAGCGCTTTCCGAAAGATCTCTGGTCTGCGCTCGCATACATGCATCCCAGCATGACCGAGGAATAGGATTCCTTGTTGTTGTAGGTGGAACACACCTAGTTTTTTTTTTTGACAACAGAACACAGCTAGCTTTGATCTAGTACGTTCGCTTCAGCAGCAGTCGCTGTTTCGCTGTGCGATGGATGGATATATGTGATGTGCCATATGCCTAATGTTGCAAAGAGTGATATGCTGTCGTGAGTTTGTGACCGGTACTACTACAAATGCACTGATGCCTCGTCGCTAATGGATTCCAGGTCGGACCTCCGATAGATATCGACTGCGGACGGCTGCTAGGGATAGCAATCCGATCCACGGCTGTGAATACCCGCAGGTTTCGTACCCACAGATATCTACGGATAAGGTATAAGAATTGAGATCGGTATCCCAATCAAAACAGATGAGCGATACGAGTAGTCAGTCGTGCTACTCTCTTGTTTCCAAATTATAAAGCGTTTTGATTTTTTTTTATATATAGATTTTGCTATATATTTAGACATACACTATGTCTAGATACATTATAAAATGAATGTATATAGAAATGTTAAAACGTCTTATAATATAAAACAGTTAAAGTACCGTCTACTAGTACATGCAAAAGATAGTCTGCTCCTATACGCTAAGAGGCCGTTTGATCCGATTGAGACTTTATAGGACGGATGAAAAAATCAGAATATGATCCAAACATGAAGGCTTTTAGGAGATTCTGGCCCGTTCGTTTGGAGGAATCTGAATGAATCTGGAGAAATTTATGAGAGGAAAACATTGTTTCGGATAAAAAAAGAAGCGGATCAAGCTGAGTTTAAGGACACGCGAACGGGGCCTCTACTATGTATTCCAGCAATTCAAAGCAATAATTCAGTATCCCTTTCTAGAAACTCTTGAGGATTCTAGAGTGGAAAAGATAATTTTGCCCTTACTTCCACCTTATCCATAAAACCATCTGAAGGGTATTTTAGACATTCATATTGTACAATGCATCCACTATCATCAAGAGTATAATATGAGAATCCAAACAGGTCAAATCATTCCTATCCAAAATCTAGATTCTCAAATCTCTGTCTACTATCTGGATTCTTATAATTCCTCTAGGATTTAAATAGGGCCTAACTTAAGGCCATGCACAACACGTGCACATGTGAGTGTTAGGGTCAACAAAAGATTCACATCAAGTAGGATGGATATTTAGGACTATTATTCACGTCTTGCAAGTCATATTTGCCTTTTGGTCCCAAGAGAATATTTTTCCTTTCTTAGTTTTCTCTCACACCTATCACTTTCATCTTAAGGGCGCCCTCAACGGCCGTCGATTTCGACAGCGAGTACGGATCTTAACCAATGAGAAAGAGAGAGATTTACTCTGTTCACTGGTTGGTTTCAGCAAGTCTAAACCAGTCAGACAACAGTATTTTTCTCTCACAATAAACCAGCACCAAGGCCTTATTTAGATTGCAAATTTTTGTTATCTGGACACTGTAGCACGGTTCGTTCGTATTTGACAAACTTTGTCCGATCATGAACTAACTAGGCTCAAAAGATTCGTTTCGTGATTTACAACCAAACTATACAATTAGTTACTTTTTTTACCTACATTTAATGTTCCATGCATACGTCCAAAAATTGATGTGATAAAGAAAAAGTGAAAAAACTTTGATGTGATCTAAACAGATTAATTAAAATCACCGCGCTAGCGAGTCTTCGGTAGCCTATCTCGCACGATTCTCGAAAGGTTTCGTGTCTCTGACATATGCACCATACTCTGAGCACTCTACCTGATATTTGTCAGAGTACAGCTTTATATTTTTAATTATTTTAAGCATCCACGTCACCTAGCTATTTGTGCAGGCCGTTGAGACGCCCTAGGAGTATCCACGTTATCTTTCCTCAGGCTTATGGTAGGCTCTACAAGCCACACTGCCAACTGGAGAGCACCTAGGTCCTCGCAGTTTGTGTACACAGTGGCATCCGAGGCTAGTTCGACCTGCGGAGTCGTAAACGAAGCCATGCTCTAAGTAGACTCACGGTGATAGGGAGTTTGTGTGCTTACACAGTTGAGCTTTGCTTCGGTCATCACTCGTGTTAGAATCGGCAGCTGGTTAACGCTCGGCTCGTTAATATTGTAAGTTAGAGGGATAGCTCGGCTCGATATTCGTTACTGAGCTTGAGTTGGCTCGTTTATCTCGTGAGCTATTAAAAAAGTAGAACACATGTGTTTATAATGTTTATGCTACATTAATTTCAGAAGATGACGTTTATCATTATGTAACCATACATGATTAATACATATTAGGTTTATCAAAAATATCAACCATGCAACATAGCTGGTCCATCCATGATCATGTAGTTCCAGCATACTAACTAGTTACTTGCCACCACAAACTTAGGAAAGTCCTCAGATTCAATGTCAGCATCATCATCTTCTCCCTGAAAAACAATCTATAAAATCCACATTTAAGTACCACAACAGTTATAAAAATTAAAATTCATATGAAACAGCTGAAAATAAGGATTACGTACCAATATAATATGTGTACACTTTTAGGCCAGCATCATCATTTTCTGGATTCATAGTCGTGGGCTGATAGGCATCAGCTCGTTTCAGCTCGTGAGCTGACTCGTTAAAATAGCGAGCTAGACTTTCATCTCAACTCATAAAACAGTTAAAACGAGCCGAGTCGAGCTGAGCTGAGCCGGCTGAGTCAAGTAAGTTGGTGCGCTACGAGTATTTTCTCTAGCCCTAGGTGGATATGTCTGGCATCAGTTTGTTAGTTCTCCTAAATAAAGAAAAGGAAATTCGCAGGAGCATGCACACGCACCAACCAACCAACGTATCGAAAACGATGGTGCCAATGCATGCAAACAGATATGATTCTTTGGTGGCTTGTGTGCGCCCGGCGGTGCAGTGCAGTGCAGTGCTCTCGACCGGTACAGGGATCCAGGCACACGGCACGGCACGGAGCCGCCCTCCCCCGATCGCCTCGCCCCCAGATGGAGACAAGACGAGCGGTGACAACTGACAACGCCCACGTCCCATGCCAGGGCCAGGCTTACATGGGATTCGCAGCAAAAAGTTGCGAGAGTTGCCGTCGCGGAGTGCCAGTGCTCGCGCCCTCTGACGCCACGCCCACTGGCCACTCCGCACGGGGAGCGCATGCCTGGTCCTCGACGACATCCGCGCGCGGCTCTGCACCGAGGGCCGAGTCTGGAGGGCAGGGACCGACACGGAGGGCTTGGGATGGATGCGCCTACACCGAAGCGAACGCCCCGAGATGTGTTCACGTGCATCGTCCGCTCATGAGCTGCTGCCGCGCTGTTTCGTGGGGGCAAAACAAAACAAAAAAGGATCCGTTTTTTCAGTTCCTCTGCCTGCTTTTCTCCTGATATCGCTCGGCTGTTTCGATTCAATTACAAATTCGCCACTTTTTTAGAACCATATTAAAAACCTGTTAAAAATCTACAAATGGGCGCCCAGCGCCCTCGAGTGTGTTTCTCAAAGAAATAATTTTTGAAACGCCAGGGTAGCTGGTCACCGTTAGTTCCGCAGGCACATTTTCCCGTGGAAAGCTAGCATGTCGTTCTGATCTTCCTCCTATATTGAATCAAAATCGAGTCAAATTCGAGTAAACAAGAGTAGTCTCTGGAGACCAAGAGCGGGCCATGAGCATGCGCCGCTCCAACATGACACCTGTGCTGACGCTGGTCCCGTCCCGGTATCTGATTTCGCTGTTAACCCCCTGCCTGAAATCTCAAGATATCTCAGCCCCAGACTACGACGGCCGACGGTCAAAGATGACAGAGACGTAGACACAGAGACACCAGAGATTTTACAGCACAGTCTCCAAACTGCGAGCAACTAGATGCTAATCTAGCGCTTAGCCGCGGGCGCGGCGCTACTCCTATATAAACCACGCCGCTCGCCTCGCCACAGCCCACATAGTGCAGGCAACACCGCGTCCTCGTCTCCATCCATCACACCCGCTCTAGCCGTTTCCGTTGCAGAGTACCTCGACAGTTTCTCAAAACCACAGCCTCGAGCGGAGCGGGGAGAGGATCTCAGATCGGATCGGAGAGCCTACGCGGCGGTCGCGGCAGGAGCTAGCTGGCTACCCCTCGAGGTCGTCAGGGAGCGGCGGCGTCGCCGCGCCCGCACGAGACGGCGGAGCTGGACGCGACGGAGGCGGCGTTCGCCGGGGAGTCGGCGGAGCAGCGCAACCGCTTCCTGGTGCTGCGGCTGTACGAGGCGCTCAACGCCCGCGACGCGCGCCGGGCGCAGGAGCTGCTGGCGCCCGACCTCGAGTGGTGGTTCCATGGGCCCCCCACGCGCCAGCACATGATGCGCCTCCTCACCGGCGCGGACCAGCGCGACAAGAACCACGGCGGCGGCGGCGGATTCGTCTTCTCCCCGCGCTCCGTCGACGCCTTCGGGTCCACCGTCATCGCCGAGGGCGCCGACGAAACGCGCCAGCTCTACTGGGTGCACGCCTGGACCGTAGGGCCTGATGGGGTGATCACCCAGCTCAGGGAGTACTTCAACACCGACCTCACCGTCACCCTCCTCTCCGGCGCCGCCGCCTCCGCCAAGAAAGCTGACATTGCAGGCGCTCCGCCTAAGCAGCAGGACGCTGCCTCTTCTTCCTCGTCGTCCCCCTCGGCAGCAGCAGGGCCCAAGTGCCTGTGGCAGAGCCGCCGCGCCGACAGCGCACACAAGTCGCTGCCGGGCCTCGTCCTCGCCATCTGAGACTAGAGACAGCAAGATCGATCTACCCTCCATTATATTAACCGTATAAAAATCCTAAATTTCCAAACTATTATTGCATAAATAATCTGGAACTGCTCTAGTCGTACTATGTATTCAGAGCCAGTCAGTGAAGACGTAATGACGTGGTATGCGTATGGACTGGACTGAACTGAACTGCTCCGTGTCGTGACTTGTGAGGTTCCGGTAACAGTTGCTTAGCTTGTGTCGTGTGTGTGTGGAAATAGTAAAGTTTGTGTTTGTTAAGTCATGGGTTATGATGGTGTGCGTTGCCATTGCAGCTACTGTAATAGTCTGCTGCTATGGTCTGACGGATGTCAGGGTATATCGTGGCTGAATAAAAGTTGCATGAGTTGGAGGGTTAAGACGTGCGTCTCTTCCCCTGTTCTTTCTTCCTCTTCTGATTTATATATAAAATAAAAATTCTCTCTTTTACGACAAACAAGTTTTTTTTTCCTGCCAGTTTTGCATATTTTATTTTGACTACAAATCTTAAAGTTTGACGAAGATTGAGCGAGCAATCTGCCTACCAAAAACTCACGTGAAAGCGTGAGATCCATCACTCACGGAATTCAGAAGCGAGCGCTAGCTGTTCACGCACGGCGTTTCAGTTCCCAAATCGCTTCTGAAAGCTTACACACACACACACACACACACACACACAGCGTTTCAGTTCCCAAATCGCTTCTGAAAGCTTTATACACACACACACACACACACACACGTTTCAGTTCCCAAATCGCTTCTGAAAGCTTTACACACACACACACACACACGCTACTAATTCAGGACGAAATCCAAATTAAAATAAACTTGCAGAAACAAATGCATGCAAGTACTAAGATTTTATTGAGCTAGATCGGCAGATCGCCAAAGATTCAGAGTAGTAGTGTATTCTGTGTTCCTGCTCCCAGACCCTAGGGTCGGCGAGCATCAGCCATCAGGGGTTGCTTTCATCGTTGCCAACCTAAAATCTTTGATGTGAGGTCTCAAGCGATTCCCGATCTGTCCGGAAGAAGGGACGCCAAGTTTGGAATTTCGTCTCCCCCCGCACTGACGCTTCCCACTTTCTGCCCTCCTTTTGCGAATTGCACTGTCATTTTCACAAGTCATCTTTCGAGGTTAGTTGAGAGCGTTAGCAAGCGGCTCGTTTCTCGTCCTGTGGGCAGCAACAGCATCATTCTGGAATCTGGTTTCGGCCGGGTTTTCAGCTGCTTCGTTTTACTCGCGCAGTCCTAGGAAGTAGGAACCATGATGATCTCCCAAAGTTTTTCGGTCACATTCGGCCAGGCTATGGAGAACCAAAGCTACGTCGTTCTTCGCCGAAGCAGAGAAGAAACTACTACCTGACCAAAATGCGTATGCCTTTAGGTCTGCTCACGTACAAATTTAATTAAGATCCTCAGACCTCAGATCCATCGTATATATTACAGTACAGTGCGTATCTTTGAAAAATAAAAAGTTCTTGGAGATGCCATCATCGCAGGCATTTCTCGTGCTACTTAGTTGATTGTACTCCGGGGAATTTGTCGCACCAAATTATGTCTGCGCTTTGAACAACGCAACTCCAACTCGTGTCTATTTCTCTTAATTCCATTTTGTACATATATCCGGTAAAGAATTCGCGGATCGCGTGATCATGCATGCCTTGTTTTGATTAGTTGCTCCTGCCTTCGACTTGTCGACACTCAAAAGTATTATTATATTAACCATGATGGCAAATATATTACTTTCTCCATTATAAATTACAAACTGTAAGCCGTTTTGGTTTTTTATTTTTTAATATATATTTTTATTACACACCAAGAGATATATATATATATATATATATATTAAAAAATTATTTATATCTATATCTATATATATCTATCTATACTATAAATCTATCTATTTTAATCTATTCTATTATATATCTATCTATCCATACTATAAAAGAGCGAAAAAATTAAAAAAAATGCCGAACGTGGAATAATAGTCAATCGATCTTGCTATTCTTTTTTTTTTTCAAGAGCCAGTCGATCCATTCTATTCTTTTTTTTTGGAAAAAAGACTATTCACATGATGTAATCCTTCCGGCCTTCGCAACAGCAACGCAAGTCATTTCTTTTGAAAGAACCGTATGCAGGTAATGTACTAACTTTCAACGCTAGTACTTGCATGAAATTAAGTCTATCTGTTCTTCCCGTTGAGTTTTCGGGGTCTTGCTCTCGTGTACCAGCAAGTACGTTGTAATTTGTAACACAGAGGCGCTTTATTTACTAAAATGTGCACCTTGAAAATCTGCTCGCATAGGTACTCTATACTGCACTCAGCGTCCGCGACTATGACCAACAACTATGCAATCGTACTTTATACTGCACTCAGCGTTTGCGACTACGACCAACAACTATGTGCACCGTCCATCGATTTAGGTTAATATTTCAGGCTTTAGTACCTGTCGTCGCCAAACTAAATGCATTATGTACTCGATCAGGCCTACAGTTGACATTTTAATCTTTTTTTTATCTTAACTACTAAAGTGGTCCTTGCAAAGATTTTAATAGTTTCGTTAATTTGTTTGTTTGTGATCTCTCCATTAGCACAAAATGTGGGTTGTTAATTAGCGGCAATAATAATGTGCATTTAATCTGAAAAGTGAAAGATGAACAGAAGGTTGATGCTCGTGTCTATTTCGCTTAATTCCATTTTGTACATAGGTGATAAAGAATATTTTCTTCGTCCCATAAAAGTGGCGTTATATGAATTATGCTGGTCAAACTTTTCTAAATTTAACTAGTTATTTAATACTGTAGCACTTTATTGTCAAATCGTGGACTAATTAGGCTTAAAAGATTTGTCTAGTCGCAATCTGTGTAATTAGTTATTTTTTCAATCTATATTTAATACTCCATGCTTATGTCTAAATATCCGATGTGATAGGATGCAAACTTTTAGGAGGAACTAAATAAGGCTTAGGCCATATGTTCTTCCCGTTGAGTTTGGGCGTCCTGTCTCATGTACAAGCAAGTACATCGTAGTTTGTAACACTGCCGCTTTATATTTACTAATGCAGTAATGTGCACCTTGAAAATCTGCCCGCACAGGTACTTTATAGTGTACTCGGCGTCTGCAAGTACGACCAACAACTATGTGCATCGTCCATCGATTTAGGTCAATGTTTCAGGTATTAGTACCTGTCATCACCAAACCAAATAAATTATTGTACTCGATTAGGCCTACCGTTCACATTTCAATATTTTTATCTTAAGAACACTTTCAACAGCATGAGATAGTTTTTTTTTTTCACAAGGAAGGCCAATGGAGGGGCTTACCGGACGCCGGGGATCGAACCCAGGACGCCGGCTTGAGGGCTGGCTCAACATGAGATAGTTACTAGCTTGAAAACAATTTTTCCAATAATTTTAACTTTTAGCATATAACTATATATATATATATATATGAATAACTTCATATGATAACCCCGTATGATCTTGCAGCGGGTGTATTGGACTAACTATTGATTAAGGGATATTTTTTACCTTTTTATTAAAATATATGTATAGAATAATACACTTAGAGCTAGCTCATATGTCATCATTATTGAAGGTGCTCTAACTAGTAGAGTGGTTCGTGCAAACAGCATATGTAGCTAGCTATCTTTTTTCACCCTAGCATTTGTTTTTTTTTTCACTTGAAACCTTTTTGATAGTTTTGTTTATTTGTAACCGTCAATTAGCACGAAGTACATATGGCTATCGGCGACAAATTTCTTGCTCTAAAAAAGCTATTGCCATCTCATCCATCTAATTTTTCATTTTTCCATTTCTATCCCATGGCTATATAATTTGCACCTGCTAAAAGTTAAGGTAGTCTTTTTAATATATATATATATTAGTTAAACTTAAAGAAGTTTGACTCGTCAAGAAGGGAAACATGTACGGAATAGTTATTTTGGACGAAGATGAAAGTATGTGTAGCGCTCGTATAATATTTTTTTTCCTTTTTTCCTGTGCTCTTTACCTCTTATACCGTCTATTTATGGTACATTTGGTAGGTGTCGGTGCAGAAAGTGACCAACACGTAAATATTTGTAGTTTTGTCGTACGTTGTGATCGAATGTGGCCTAACACTCAATGACATAGTGTTTATACTGGTTCAGGCAACGTGCCCTACGTCCAGTTTGAGTCGGTCGGTGATTTTATTCCTGAGCCCAGGTGCTTAAAGTTTGTTGTGGGGTTACAAACGAGAAGGAGAAAGATGGAGGTGCAAGAGGTCCGGTCGGACTCTGGTCTGAAGGGCCAAGAGTGACATGAGCTCCGCTATGTGCTAAGTGTTCGAGCATGCGCTCTGTGTAGCTTTAGAGTGTCAAAAGCTAACAGAGGGTGAATCGATGTAAGTGAACTAATGGATCCCTTTTTTGGGGGAGCGCATCCCCTTTTATAGATTAATGGGATGGCCTTACAAGTGAGAGAGGGAGAGTATACGTATGCTAAGTCTTGTTGCCCATGCCATCGGGTACAAGATGATTATGGGGGCCCATAACACTGTTAATGTTAGATGCATGTGGGAGGTTGCGTCGTCTTCTTCTGGTATGGAAGACGTCGGTGCCTGTCATACTGTTGATGCCCGAAGGCATGTAGGGGTTTTTACCATGTTCGCCTGGTATGGTAAATGCCGGCGCCCACAACACTGTTGATGCCCAGAGGCATGTGGGGGAGCCTTACCGTGTTTGCCTGGTATGGGAGTTGATGGCGCCCACAACACTATAGGGAAAATATCGGCGCCCACAACACTGCTTGGGTTCTGACATGCCAGAGAGGTTGTAGGGTACTATCCTGCAGGTGTACAGGGTACGGTCCTCAGTTTTGCGGTTGACTTGAGTGCCATGCCTTACTTTCCCCGTCTGTTTTCTGGTCCTCATCGAGCGGGCGTCCCCGGTCGGTTGGTCCCAGTCGGCTCTGATTGTGCCAGTCGGAGAAGAGCTGTAAGCAGAGGTTCGGCGC